CCAAAGCCTGGCAAGACCAACATGCAGGAAGCAAGCAAGATGAAGTCTTGATCTGCTCTGTAAATGAGACTCACTAATAGTTTTATACAGGCTGCAGCAACATAGACAAGCTAACTTTTTCCCTAGCTAAGGTTGCAAATGTAGAATACCCTTGGCTAGAGAGGGCCCTTTTGTTTCCATGCACGCTTACTTAGATCTGGAAGCTGTACATCACACCGAGCCTCTTAGCAGGGCTGAGTTTTGTTATACAGCCTCCCAGACTGAGCTTGCTCTCTCCAACAGACTCAGGTCTTTCTAAATGTACCTATGCAGACGTGTCGAGAAAAACACCTTTGCTCTTCACCAGATTCTCAGCTAGAAAGAATAAGCCTGTCTTTGTGGACTTATATCGATAGGGTTTTATTGCAAGAAATATCTTTCTCTCTGCTTACAATTAGCAAGGAATCCTGCAACAGGATCCTACCGTTCTATTGCTTGATGCTGTTCTGCTGTTTCTACCATGAATGCTAAATTAATTGCTCTCTCAGGAAGTGCAGTTCTCTCAAGCAGCTCTGGCTCTCCCAATTTTCTCCCTCTATCATATATAGGTTGTCTGCCCAAAATCTGTAATCACAACAGTAGATGAAAAAAGTCTCAAACCCTGCATTACAGTCTAGCCAGACTATGTCATTAGCACTTGAGTCAACGTTCCATGCTAAAATACGTGATTTTCTTTGTGCATCCTCAGACTGTCATCATCTTCAGTGTGGGATTTCAGTCCAATATTTGAGCTTTGTAATATCTCCAGATTTACAAGGGTGCACATGACACAGCTGCCTCTCTGCAACACAAGCTCATTCTGAACAGGGTGTAGTATTTAAATGAACAAACATTTCGGATCTCAGGGTAGCCTAGAGAGGCTGTGTGAATGTTTACATGGCTAATGAGAATAGCGTCATGGCCCTAAGAGCACCAATAGCCTTAACTGCCCTGAATAACTTCATCTGGGGCCCCCACCACATACTCTCTGTGCAAGGACCTAGGAGTCCTGTTTAAGCTCAGTCCCAGGGCCCAAAGCCTTGCCTGAGCTCACCATGAGGGAGCAGCAGGAACGGGGACTGTCCCGCGCAGCAGGGATGGGACAGGGTGCAGGACCTTGTCGACAGGCAGGCTAAGGCTGGTGGCAGCAACAGGCTGCTGCCAGCCCAGGGACAACCAGAACAGCGCAAGGGGACAAGAGTGGCCAGGGTCACTCCGTCAGGGGACTGGGGTTAGGGCTGGGCACAGGAGCTCACTGGAGTCAGGTGAGGCTGCTCAGGATAGAGCAGGCCATTTCGTGCCCTCAGAACTCTGACAAATAGAGGGGCTCCACTGTATATTGCTCATTTTCTTTGCGACTTATTTCTCCAATTAACTACTTCTACAGTCAAAAACTGCATACAGGATGTATTCTCATCCTCATAATCAGTATTGTCCCATCAGAGATGACTGCTCCCCATGAAGTCCAATGACTGCAATAGAGAAAAGGGCATAAGAGCCCTGACCAACTTAAGCAACCATAAGAAATTTATTAGTAAAGTTTGTTTTTATCATCTCCCTTTTATAAGTGTTTAAAATCATATCCTATTTCACAACTAGTATTGATGCCACCAAAGTCAGCTGAAACTCAAAGGGGGAGGTATATATTTTAAAGACTGGGCATCACAATGTAATGATACAATGTATAGACTTGATAATTTTATGGGGGAAAAAAGTGCAAATCTGTCCTCTGTAGGAAACCAAAAACAAAAGAAGAACTTGCATATGGAGAGGGAGTAAGGTTTTCTTTACACTGAATTTATAATCTGAGCCAGAGCAATGTGAAAGCAGATTATCACACCAACTCTGTGACTGCTCTAAGCCAAATGTCACCTTTATTGTGCATAGAGGAGACTGACCACAGCCCAGGTTCATCAGACTAGGGTTAGAGGAGAACCTGATGAAACTAAATTAGTAATTAAAATAATAGTAACACAAGCCTGCCGCCAATCACTGTAATTTATTTTATATTAAAAAAATCTTATTTGCTTAACGCTTGCCTCACATCCATGTCTACAACACTTCTATTCCCCATCCAGTCCTACAAGAACAACCACACTTTTATTTGTAGTGGTTTTCTGTGTGTTATGAAGGGCAAGAGTTCAAAAATCCCATGGAAACATACTAAAATGGACTAGATCATGCTGCTGAGGCTCCCCGTACTTCTCTTTGAACAGAGAGATGGTTCATTCCTCTTTTACCAACACAAAGTTCACCATACAAAGTGGGGAAAAAAAAATCAAAATGTAACCCAGTCAAATTAGGGGTCCCTAGCCAGGTCCCAGCCTCTCAACCAGTTTGCTGGTGGCCCTAAGGAGGAGATCCAGCACTCGGGCCAAGGGAGTGATGATGCACTGCCACACCACACCTGATCCAGGCAACAGCAAGGCTGAATGCTCGGACTCACTAAAGGGAGTATACACAGATTCTGTGTGTTAACTAAATTTATGACATGCCTGCCACTGTGGTTTACTCAACATCGTGATGCACCTTCAGTCAAGTGTTTCCATATTCTTTTATAGAGCCTGCAATGCCTACCGGAGTGGCTTTGGGAAGGCGGTGGCCTGCTGCTTTAGATATGCGTACTTTGTTGCACAGCAACAGCTACCATCCCAAAGCACAGCTGTCTTTTCCACCCCTCTGTCTCACAAATTTATCAGCTAGGACTGATTGAAACTCAGCAAATGTAGCTGGCAGTGGCAAACCAACAGTGAAGCAGAACATGTAGAAATTGAAACAGGACTCATAGGGAAAATTTTATTATTGCAAAGGGTGAGCATAGCTTACACACAATCGTAAACAAGTATCTCAGGCCCTGACTTGCTGTATGACAGTAAAATGTGCTTCTCAGTTCGAGCAGTTTGAAAGCCAGCAATAAGCCGTCATCATTTCATTTTACTGTGCCTTGTCAATTTGTCAAGCCTGTATTTCCCAGCAGATGACACAACCCATTTTATAGAACCATGGAGCTTACCAGGAATCCAGACACAGCCTGGCCTGCCCTGTTCTGCTACATTTTCTTTGGATTTTCACCAGCAGTGCACATCATTGACAGCGAGGCCCTTCGCAAGAAATTAATCCACTGAAACCCCCCTGAAGTAGTTGGAAACTGCCCTGGTTAACGGCCCCGGTTACTGGCAAGGCTTGTGCTGGACTACAATACACACTGATGTTATTTTCCTGCTACCTCCAGTCTGCTACAGACTCTGCCCTGCACTGTGTTACCGGTTTGTTGCATCCGTATTAAAGACTAGATTGCCTGAATTCTCCATCACTATACTCCAAACCCATGAGCAAGAAGGGGAACACACCTTTTATGCAAAACCAGGAACTTCTTTTTAGTTTAATCAAACTCTAAGCCATTTAATCAAATAACTATTTTAAATCCAGTTACAATGATACTTGCACAGGTCAAATGAAATACAGCTAAAAACACCACATACACAGACTTCCTAGAACCTAGCCCTTTCTCTGGCATCGTGCCCACCCTCGCACCGCCCCTCTCGGTGTGAACATCGACGGCTTCAGGCCGTGGGCAAGGAGTTACAGCACAGTCAGCATCTCCTCTCTGGGAGGAGTGGGATGTCAGTTCTTCCTTCTCAACCCAGGATCTGTGCTTGGGGTCATTTTTCTGTTTGGTAGCAGCACTTGCACTCTGCTCTTTCTTACTTGGTCTGTGATACCATGTTTCAGCCACGTTTGCGTGTTTAAGCTATGGTATGAGTTTATTCTTTTTTCTCTTCCTTTACCACTGGAACTGGTTTTACCCAGATGCCAAGGTTCCTTTCCTTTGATAACCAATAACTGACTAGTGCTGAGCTGTTTGTAGTCGTGGGTCTGCTGATATCATCCTGTGCCTGTGCTTTAAAGCTCCCGCTGTGATCGCATGCGTGTGGTCCTCTATGCTGCGTTTTATCTGAGAGTCAGAGATAATTCATTCTACATATAGTAACTGCTTGCTGTTGTTATAAGTACACATACCAGTAAGTGTCACGTCCTACAACTGTACAAAGCTAAGCAAAGACTAAAACAAGGTCAGTAATAGTTATCTGGTCATTAAGTAATTACTGTTGCAATGAAACAAGTTAAAACAAAGCTTCAAGGAAACCCAACACATCCAAACCTTCCAGAAATGCTTTTTGGTACAAGCAGAGAAAGGAAGAGAAGCATCTAGCTCACCTCTCATCATCTGAATGGAAAAAAAGAGATATAGGATACAGAAATAATCAGTCCTCAAAGGACTCCGTGCTCAGGCATTCCCCAGGAGTGGAAAGACACTTGCACATGCAGTAGGATCAGCTGGAGAAAGAAATTCTGCAGACGTTGAAAGAGCAGGACAGGATGTCTGTTTCTATTAAAATTAGATGGGAAGAGTTTAAAATCATGCAGAAGAGTCACAGGGCCTTTCTCACCAGTGGTATTCACTGCAATACAATATATGAAGTCCAGGTCACCCCCCTCCCAGGCAAAGAAGCAGCTGGTCAATTTAGCGGCTGCTCTGTTGCTTCTAGGTCTCCGAAAGATCTTACGGCCCGCGAATGTGACTGGCAATGAAACCCCAGGGCTCTCTACAACAGATGTTCCTAGTTCCTCTAGCAAGGGAAATGGTGGCATAAGGTTTAATCTTGAAGGGAAGGTCAGGCCTTGCTCGCTCCTAATTCTCTGGTGATCCAGTCCAGAATGGATTCATGTTGGGCACTCCAAGCGGTTGTGTTCCCAAAGCCCCTTTGCTGCTCCTGTGCCAAGTTTGAACAGTGCAGTTAATTGATGCTTGGAAAACTTCTTTCTCTGTGCTTTTTTGGTGTCTGAATATTAGCTAGAGGGCATGAGAAAATCTCAGTGCCTTCCTAGCAAGGCTCAGAGCGGCTGGCTGATCTTTTCATGTCAAAAACAACAAGAAGGGCTTCTTCAACTACATCAGCAGCAAAAGGAAGGCTAGGGACAACGTGGGGCCGCTGCTGAATGAGGCGGGTGTCCTGGTGACGGAGGATGCGGAGAAGGCAGAGCTACTGAATGCCTTCTTTGCTTCAGTCTTCAGTGCTAAGACTGGCCCTCATGTGTTCCCAAAGCCCCTTTGCTGCTCCTGTGCCAAGTTTGAACAGTGCAGTTAATTGATGCTTGGAAAACTTCTTTCTCTGTGCTTTTTTGGTGTCTGAATATTAGCTAGAGGGCATGAGAAAATCTCAGTGCCTTCCTAGCAAGGCTCAGAGCGGCTGGCTCTGTGATTCATATGCATTTAAAGGCACTGTAGAAGACAGCTCAGACAGGCCCATATTGCTGTACCTCTTGTAGGAACACCACACTAGGCGTCATACTGCGCTCTTACATTCCTCAGAGGCTAAAATAGCTAGTAGCAGGTCCTACCTTTCAGCTACACATGATAATACATATCAGGTTCAGTGCACTGCCATTCTAGCTCTGCAGCAGAAATGACAAAAGAGAGGAAAAGGGTTTCACAGAAAGCTTTGAAATGGAAAATCCTTAGCTTACAAAGTGGAGCAATTTAACATTCTTTTGCTTTGCTTTGTTTTTTTTTGTGCGGGATTACTTTTTTGAAACTTTTGTCTCAATTATTCAGTTTGCTTCTATTCCTTTTCTTTTCACCACTTGTGACTGGCGTGGTGACGAAAAACCCCCTTTACTAATTTGGGAATTTTCTAACAACAAGAAATCCCCAAACATTTTGATGAAATAAGACTTTGTTGTTCTTTCTATTTTCTTAAAGAGATGAACCCCTTCTGTATATTTACTGGCATGGTCCTGGAGATTCAATCCAAAATGTGAACAGAACAAAGGAGCCAGGGTGAGGATAAGAAATCATGTTCATACATTTGGTATGAGGGTCTCCAGCTCTTCCACTCCAAATCAGTTGCTGGCGGCCCCTACTGCTTGCTGTTACCTCCTTTGACCTTCTCTTAATCTCCAGTTTTCCTCTTACTGATACAGCTAAGAAAGTGGCACTTTTCAAATCCAAGCACTCATATGGCATTTATTGTGTCATGGCTACTATAGATGAGCATACATACATATATTTAGATATAGTACTCACTCCCAAAGCTCATTATTTTCTAACTAAGGATCCTTCAGGCTCCAGTCCAACTCTAAACTCGCAGCTGCAGCAACCGTTGCATAGCACATTAGTCAACCGTCCTTCGCTTTTTGGTTCCAAGAGAAAAATTAATCACTACAACAAATCTCCAATTGCTTAAATTGGAGATTACACCCGGAGGTTCCTGTTGCCCTCCTTTTGTTTTACTCCTGGGGCACGTCAAGACTGCTAACTACATTTCTAGGAATAGAATTAATTGCATGGGCCAGAGAAAATATTTCAAATCTATTTTTCATATGATGGGGAAAGCTTCTCTGTAAATAGCAAAGGCCTCACTCCTTGGGCTTGGAAAAACATCCTTCTGTTGCAAGAGCAGAGGACTTCGAGAAGCCTTCAATACAGATAACCTTGAAGGTTTCAATGAAAACAAACCATGACCCCATACAGTAGCAATCCACACAGTAGCAGAATGTGAGGTTTTAAATCTGGGAGGAAAGGATACTCATGAACACCTGTGCCAAAGGCTACAATGAAGAGTATATTTCAGCTGATTTGGAATATCTTTTCTGACAAATCCATGTTTTCAGGCTTTCCCCATGGCTATACACTATTTTCTGACCGGAAAAATTAAGACATTATCTCACCGGACACACCTGGAGGTAATTTGCCCTACCTTCAAATGCTGAATCTTAAGGAACATAGATCTCCAGGTAACTTTGTAAGTAGAGGAAAAGGGAGAATAACATGATAAAGCAAATTCTATAAAAGAAACAGAGCAGGTTAATGTAAATCAGCATTGGAAATTGGCTCCAGCCAATCATTGAAAATCAGATTAATCTCTTGTATGGGCAATTAGCATCCTCAGCTCGTCAACCAAGCCTATTCATATAATAACCTGCTTACATATCCAGATAGAGAAAACATCTCTCTGACACAGGACTGCTCCGCTCTAGAAAGCTACTTTTGCAGAGCCTCCTGCAATGTGCAGCTAACTGGTTCAGTTCTGGGACTCAGCTTACCCCCAAGTCACATCTGAATGCAGTGAAGACACTGCCACAGCCTGACCCAATACACTTCAAGCTACAGAGATGCCAGCTGGCAAACACCAGACAAATGAAGATTCTTTCTCCGCTGAACTAGAACACGATTATCAAACCAAAGCTTGCTACAAAAACTGGAGACTGACACATTTACTTCTGTGCAATTCATACACCCACCCTACGAACAGCAACAAGCTCCAGTCACGTGTCCAACCAAACCTGGACACATTTCAAGCAAGCCAGCAAAAATTAGGAGACAGAATTATGGATAAATTTAGATTTAAATTTATGTATCCTGAAACTTCTGCAGCTGTATTATCACCTTCTCTTTTCAGTTTCTATCCCACTAAGCCTTTTCAAATGCCCCAGGCAGAGTTTGGCACCAGGCCATAGCCTGATGCGTAATGGAAGCACTTCATAGCTATCTGTGCACTACCAGTTGCAACACTGGGGACTCAGTGCGGGAAGACGAAAACAGAGCAATTCTGTGTATAAAATGATGAAAATGAAATCAACCCATAGGTGCCTCAGATGAGCAAAATGCAGAAAAACAAAACATCATGAGCAGAACTCCTGTGGTCTTAGGAAATCACATGCAGACATTTTATAGTGAATTTTTATCCTGATTCTATGCATTAAGATTTGCTCTTTGCATATGTTGCAGAAAGTTTCTTCTGCTTAAAAAAAGTGCAAATGGCTTCTCACTGTGCCTCAAAGGAGTTGTGACTCTCACACTGGACTGAACTGCTCAGGGAGGGGGCAAGAAATCCATTTTCCATGAAATTCATATCTACAAGAAAAGTGATAAAAGAGTGAGGTTGCAGAAAGCCAAGTCTGTATATTTGCCATGGAAACAGCAGTTATAAGAAACACAGTGATGGGAGGAATATCAGCTATCACTTCAGGCTGATTTTTCCAGAATGCAGACATAGAAAACTGTAAGTTGGTCGTGATGCAGCTTGGTAGACTTGCCAGCTCTATTAGCTTGGTAAGTATGGTTCATTTCTAGCTGCTACTTTTGAAATGTTCTAGGTATTCTTTACTATATTCAGGGAACACAAGCAATGAAATGGAAAGGAGAAAGCAAAGGTGGAAAGGGTTCTCACCTCACTGTGGACTCTCACCTCATTTTTGTGAGGTCAGCAGTAGCCCTGCTGCATATTCAATTTACCCATTTGCCTGTTTCTTTGCATCCTGGCACAGGGACACAGTAGAAGGAAGGAAAGGGACTTCTTTGGAGCCCCCCTGGAGACAAAGCAGTGCAGGCCTTATTCTGGTGTTCTGCTTTTTGAAGTTTTTTTGTTTCTTCCTTGCCAGGAAAAGCTTGACATTAAAAGCACCTCCAAGCTCTAAGAAAGCTTAATCAATATTGCAAATCCAAATTTTAGCAAGGGGTTCAATTTCCAGAACTGTCTTCCAGAACTCCTTCTGTAGTTGTTTTCTCTCTGTTCTTTGCCTCTTACCGTTTTCCTTTCCTTTCGACTCCCTGTTCCCCTTCAGACACCTCTCTCTCACTTCATTATTCCCTTCTTTTTGTTACCAAAGCTGTAGTGGAAGCATCGCCCTTCTCCTCCCTGCTGATAGGACAAAACCACAGCCAAACCAAGCAACCATTTTTGCCAAAGGAGAGAGACACACATGCTGAAGGAAGTCTATTAGCCCTAGACTCTGCAAAACAGAGACAATTCATGCTCCGGAGGAATTAGCAGCACTCAGTGACCTGCCCATGATAAGAATGCCAAGGAGTTTGATTGCTTCCAATGTTCAGGTAGATGCTGCTCTTCCCGTCACTTGCAGCCCCACTGTTCAGGAGGGTTGATGACTCCTTGTGGAGCCACCTTCAGCTGTGAGAAAGCAGCCCAGCCCAGACGTGAATGTGTGCTACCAACAGAGGAAATATTTACTGCTTTAGTCTTTTGTCAAAGCCCTGGCTTCCTTCTAGTTTCCGCAGAAAATTGTTGATCAATGTACTACAGAATAAGCCAGCATGGGAGCTTGTCAGTGGTTATCTCTAGCAGCACCAGTTTGTTTTTCACAGGGTGTTGCTAACGAAGCTTTGTCAGTAGCAGATATGTGTGGGTATTTCATACTAACAGACAGATGAAAAGTGCATCCAGGAAGTTTCTGTCCTTCAGAAATGATTACTTAGTCCCCAGCCCGCCACACTCTCCTGAAGGTAAAGCCTTGACTTCTGGGGCTAGCCAAGCTTTTCTTAGTGTTGGATTTAAAGCCTATATTAGTAACTGTTGCTTTCCTACTTCTTTTGCTGATTTCTTGGCACTTGGGAACGGTTTGGTCTCCAGAATAGTGTGAGCATTCCCTAAGCTAAACTGTCTTTTAGCATCATCTCCTAGAGGCTGCTAAAAGAGGCTACAATGCTCACCAAAGATCAGTGGCTCCATCACACTTGGGAGGCAGTACAGGGAAGGAAATGGCCAGGGTTAGAGCTCTGCACCATCGAGTGCAGTTATTTCTTTTGTTCTAGGAAAATCCCAGTGTTCTTTGACATATTTGCATATCAAAATCATTTCTAGAAAGGAAACTTTAAGAACAGCTCACATGTTTGGTTTTTTTTTTAGAAGTAACCCAGACCATTGCTAATTCCCACTTACCTGACGCCAGCTTTGCCCTAAGGATAGGCTGAAGTTACAGCAAAGCAGAGACCAGTCTTCATCAGCTGCCACAGTTTCCACATAGAAGATGTTTTCAATATATAAATGTCTCTGAAGGTTAAAAATAAACTCACAGGCAAAGCAAAAGAATATATTGAAATATACTTTAAAATCACAGCTATTACATGATAATTCATCAAAGGTATACTCAAATACTGTAGGGTATTTTTTTTTTGATTGGTTTGATCAAAGGTGATGCTGATGATGGAAT